GCAGCCATAAATCTTTAAAATAGCAGACAGTTGTCAGCATCAGCTCAGCCTTACATAAATTTGCTTTTATACAAATCTAAATGGTCTTGTTTGTTGAAAATTTAGTAGTTTTTGTTTGTTGAAAATGGTCATTGGGAAAACTCTGAAGTACTGAAATTTGTACTTAATACTAGGGATACAGTTTATATTTTTATTTGAAGCAAAATTGATATGTTTCATACTTATTCTATGTTGAAAAATATTTAATGTATTTCCTTAGAAAAAATCTGAAGATAAATATCTTTAATATCTTTTTTTTTTTTTTTTTTTTTTTTTTTTTTTTTGTGTGTGTGGTGTGTTGCACTATTTATACTTTGTTATGAAATACTTTTGCTTAAAATATATATATATATGTTTTTTCAAATAGACACAGAAATTTTTATAAATTGTTATTTGGCACAAACTGATTTTGCTTAGCCAGAACTATGTAAGGAATTATCATTTTGCTGAATCTTTTCTAATGTAAATCTGTGATTAAAGAACTTAAATTTGTAGATTCTAAAAGCATTTAATTTTTTTTGTAAATCAGAGAAAGTTTTAAAAATTATTTTATTATATTTATTTATTTGTTTATTGTGCTTTCTGTTTTTCTTTGTTAAATATATATGTATATAAAAACTTAAAATTTTTTTTCAATGCATTTTGCTGAAAGTTGCATAAATTTAGTTTCTGACCTGCTTTAGTTTTGACTTTTTGAAGTTTATTGTAGATGTTTTGTCTTGTTGAAGTTGTATTTTGTGTATTTTGTTTGTATTTTGTAGCTTGTCAGTAAGCTAAGTTATTAAACTGAAGTATTTATTCTTAATGATTATTCCCCCCCCTTTTTTTTCCAGCCAGATGCTAATGGCTACTTCAAGTCTTTCATTAAAGGAGTTTGGAAGGCGTTTCCGTAAAGCATTATCAGTTCCATTTCTTCTAAATCAGGTGTGCTCTACCAATATACAGGAATTTGTGGAGTCCTATGCTGCATCTTTAGGGTGTTCGGAAAAATCTCTTTTCTTTCCTTTATTAACTTGTGCAGCTGCTTGTATGGGTACTGATTGTTATATTGAGTTAACTAGTCACTGGCATGAACCTCCTATTTTGTGGACTTTAGTTATTACGCCTAAAACTCTTCTGCGAATTGATGTTGCAGAACATTTAAAACAATTGCTTTTGAAAGCACAAAATGAAGTTTGGGTTCTTGAACATAGTGAGGACACAAAAGATCATCTGAGGAAGTTCCTTTTTGACTTGCTTACTTTAGATCAGCTTCATGAAATGCTAAAATTAAGTAATGGACATGGTTTAGCTATTTATAATAGTGTTCGTTCTCTTCATAAAGTTATGGTGACTCCAGAAGATGCTGATATTATGTTTAGATTATATTCTGGTTTAGGATGGTTTGCTGATTCCCGTGTAACTAGAAATACTGTATCCAAAACAAGAGTAAATTTTTCCATTATATCCACACCCACTAATGTTCATCAGGCTTTAACTACTTCTCCTAATTTTCCAGAACTCTTTCATCAGTGTTTCTTAACAACATGTTCTGAAGAAAATCACGTGAAATTTGGACAGCTTTCAGTAGTTTCTGAAACAGAAAAATTATTAGAAATTTTTACCTCATTGTTAAAATTGCATTCCATGAAGGGACCAATTGTATATAAACTAAGTTCAGAAGCTACCGAAAAATTTAGCCAAATTCATGATGAGCTAACTGATAAAGCTAAACAGATGGCTAGGAAAAATGCTCATAAAGTTTTTCAGCCTGCTCTTTCATATCTTGGACGTTTAAGCTGTGTTCTTCATGTTTTAGACAATGTATTAGAATCAATTAATTATAAAGTGCCCATTACCCAGTTAACATGGAGTACAGAAATTAGTGCATCTACTGTGTGGCAAGCAAGAGAACTTCTGGGACATGTAGTTGAACAGCGTCATGCATTAATGGAACAAACTATGATTGAGGCTTCTCAACCAAAGAATGTACGTACTCCTGCCATAGATCTTGTTGATGGACAAACTGCTCCTCGGCAACAAAGAAGTCCTTATACTGCACATACACCACCAATAAATTCTATGCAAAGAAGCCCAGTTCCAGTACAAAGACCTCCTTTTTCACCTAGTATAGCAAGGCGGAATTTAATGAACACTCGAGTTCGAACTCCGACCCGAGGAACTTTTGAACCTTTGTTAAATCAAAGTAATGAACGGCGTAATGTGGAGCCTATCATTGCATCTGTTTCCTCGGCAGGATTGCCTGTTACAAGAGAAGAACCTGCATTTCGTCCTGTTATTAGTAGCTGTGAAACTTTGGCTAATTCTGCAAATAATAGTTTAAATGCTGAATTAAATTTGCCACCAACATTATCTGTATCAGTATCAGATGAATCAGAACCTTCTCAACCAGTTCTTCTTTCACGAACACCTTTCACATCTGTTCGTGATGTATCAAAGGAAGATTTTTTAAAATCTCATAGAAGTTCTGTGAGAAAGTTGCTAATGCATGGTATAAGCCAGATATCGGCATCTCGCTGTGTACAATTAAAACTTACACCAGATCCAACTGCATCAGAGGAGGGACAAATTTACAATTCTAGTTTTGCACGTTCCTTTCTAAAAAAACTTGAATCATTAGGTTTTGGAGTTTGTGATGGTCCCAAAAGTGGCAACCTCCGTCATTTTATTTTTAAGAAAAAAAAATTTAGTGCTTTGACTGAAGAACAGAAGCAGATTTTATCTGACATAAATATAAGTGAGAGAGATTATAATAAATGTTTTACTCTTCCCGCTGTGCAAGAAAGTAAGCAGAATGGAAGTGTTGTTTGTTTAGAGTAATTGAGGAAACAATTGAATGAAATGTAGCATAATATGTATTAATAAACCAAGTTATTTAAAATCAAGTAATCAAATGCATATGGAAGAATATTAATGATGTTTATGAATTGCAAGTATAATAAATTTATGACTAACTTTTCATTAAATTTTTATCTAGGAAAGATTATATTTAGTAAAAAAAAGTTAAATATTATGATTAAGTAGGAGAATAAATATGGAAATTTTAATAATTTTTTAGAATAATTTATTTGTTACAAAACTGAAATTTACAATTTTTTGGGGAAGAGAAGGAAAGCTTTTATAGTATTTTAATTTTAGAAGATACATGTTCATGTATGTATACAATTGACCCTTGAACAATTGGGATTAAAACTGTAGAGATACAAATTTTATGTATATTTTTCAAATTTTTTATGAGGTATGCAAATTTACAAATTGAATGATGTAACTTAGAAATGGTGAACATTTTAGGTATGTCATGAATAATATAATATAAACATTTAATAATACATAATGAATGTTCATACTAATGCATGCAATTTTCATATTTAATCATTTACCACCACAAAATGTGAACATTTCTCTTATGAAAACCTTTCCTATTTAATGTATAAGTTAATAAGCATTTATATTTATATATATATATATCATTAGACAACACTGATATGCACACAGGTGATTCATATTGCAAAGAGGGCATAAACTTAATTGTCAATAAATCTACTATAGTGTAAATGAATTTTGTCATCCTTATTTTCTTTCTTTAGATTTGCTTCATTGTAAGCACACAGTATCTTATAAAGTGAAGTCTACGTTGATTGACTTTTCATGTTGTCAGTAATGTTTCCCTTCAGCAGTAAACTGTTTATTACATTTTGAGGGAAGCAAAAAATTCATACAGATTTTCAATATCATTAAGGGAATTTCAGTATCCTAAACTTTTGTGTTGTTCAAGGATGAATTGTCTCTCTCTCTAAGTACATCATATATATACCAGATAGTATTTAAACTTATTGAGTATATAATACAAATTACCTTGTTGCGAGTATCAGTATTTGGATAATAGTTGGTACCCACCATACATCACTAATAAAAACCATTCATGACTCTTTGACAGAGCATTGTAGCATTTATCCTGAAAGAGCTTTTCTTTTTTAAAGTATGTGCATGTGTGTGTTTTATTAATATTTTTTCTTCCCTTTTCCAAGAAAGAGTGGAGATGAGTTTTCTTTTTATTTCAGTTTCAATTTGAGACCATTTGGAGCAAATGGATATATGCAGTGTCTCATTTTTCTTAGGGTTTCCTGTGGGAAGTTCTTGAGACAGTGTTTGTTCTTCTTATGTTAATTTTTACTAAATTGTGTGTACTAGATTTGCCAAGAAATGAAGCAGAGCTCATCTTTTCCATACATGTGATATTTTGCCAGATTTAACTATTAATGTTTCGAATCTCACATCGTGAACCTGAAGATGGAACTAAAAATTTAATAATTACTGACAAAGTATTAGAATAAAAACCGGAAAATGGTTTAAAGAAAATCACTTACTTTATTTAGCAGAGTTCATATGATGGCACAGATAATTATTGAGAATAACAAAGTAAACAAAGAAATATATCTGCTGATGGTGAAAATGTATTTCAGCACTAAAAAGCATCAACAAATTGCCGGTATGTAATACAGTCAAAAGTCTTTAATCCGGACTCGTCGGGACTTCGGCGATTCCGGATTATAGATCATCAGTTTAAATCTGGTAAGATGGCATGCAGAAATTATAAAATTAAAAATATGAAACCGTAATTTATAAAATAATGAGCAATTTTGATCTAAAGGGTATCAAAATTTACAAAAAAAGAAGCTTAATATTTATTTGTTTACTTTATTAAACATTTCTTTCAACGCGCGCATGCGTACCTTACGCATAGCCGAAATTAGAAAATTGCAACCAGAAAACTATTGATTTGTATTCGTGATATTTATAATGACGAGGAATTTTGATTAAATTATATCAAAGACGGAGTACATCGAGATTAAATACTACATTTAGTAAGGAATTATAAGCCGAATAAATAAAAACTCTGCCCTGAAGATAACGATAGTGGTGACAGATCAACTTCCAGTTCATTGCACGCCGCGACGTCCCCCCCTCCCCGCGCAGAGCAGCGTGAAATTGATAAACAGATTTCGGAACGGTTAGATAAACAAAAGATATACCTTTATCCATTTTTTGTAGCAATTCGTTTTTTGTTTGATGGACATCGAATCATACTTTCGTTTTCTAGATCCTTTGAGAGCTCCAGCATCGGAAATTCTATTTGACATAATCGAAAGTTCAAGCTTACTTTTATAAAATTGCTCTTACAGTCTGCAAAAAATAATAAGCCGAATCCAATTCGAAGATTAAGGAACAACGCAAATCATCAACATTAACTGAATAGATAATTAGATAATTTTAGCTTATACCGTCCGTTATACATTAAACGCGCACGCGAAAACGTATTCTGCTCTTGCGCAGACGTATATGCGCAGTCGTAAATGTCTTGGGCGCACGTGTAAAATGCCTATGAGCATGCGTCAACGCGGCGCGCAGAAAGATTTTAGCTTTGAGGTCCGGATTATGGGTGTCCGAATTAACGACTTTTGACTGTAGCTGAAATCATTAATATCCAAGTACAATGTGCAACAAAAAAAAAAAAAAAAAAAAAAAAGAGAGAGAAGGAACAGTTCTATATTTCTCATTCTACTGGGTCGACTGATGAAATTTAACTGCATTTTTCATGTTTCGAAAGTGCAACTTGGGATGTATACAGTCAAAAGTCTTTAATCCGGACTCGTCGGGACTTCGGCAATTCTGGATTACAGATCATCAGTTTAAATCTGGTAAGATGGCATGCAGAAATTATAAAATTAAAAATATGAAACCGTAATTTATGAAATAAAGAGCAATTATGATCTAAAGGGTATCAAAATTTACAAAAAAAAGCTTAATATTTATTTGTATACATTATTAAATATTTTTTTCAACGCGCACATGCGTAAAGCATACATTACGCATAGCCGAAATTAGAAAATTGCAACCAGAAAACTATTTGATTTATATTCGTGATATTTATAATGACGAGGAATATGATTTAAATCATATCAAAGATGGAGTACATCGAGATGAAATACTACATTTAGTAAGGAATTATAAGCCGAATAAAATAAAAACATTTGCCCTGAAGATAAGGGTAGTGCTGACAGACCAACTTCCAGTTCATTGCGCGCTGCGATGTCACCCCCACCCCCCACAGAGCAGCATGAAATTGATAAACAGACTTCGGAATGGATGGTTAGAGAAACAAAGGATATGCCTTTATCCATTTTTTGCAGCAATTCCACTTTTTGTTTGATGGACATCAAAACATACTTTCGCTTTGTAGATACTTTCGCTTTCGAAACATACTTTTATACCAACTTACTTTCATAAAATTGCTCTAACGGTCTGCAAAAAATAATAAACCAGATCCAATTCGAAGATTAAGGAACAACACAATCTGCAACATTAACCCTTTGTGGCGCACTGTACGTTAACTTCGGAATTTCAGCAAAAAATGTTGTATGCAGTCTATTTAGTCGTAAAGGAGTATACAGGTAAAATTTTGTAAAAGTTGCACTTACCGTTTTAATTCTGTGGGTGTTCCATGAGGTGGAACACTGCACAGCCAGAGCTTTTAAAGGTGCGACTAAGCGAGCATTGCAGTGAAGCACGAAAATGAGTAGAAGCGTTTGTATAAGAATGAAAAAACCCTGTATTATGGCTGTATACATGGTTTCCTGGATATACACAATATTCTTGAATATATACGGATAAATGAGATAAATATCTATATATACAAGTCCTATATACAAAAATATCTACAAATTTTTGGAAAGAGTTAGGCCTCTCTATGCCATTTATAGAAAATTAATAATAAAAAAATTAACTATGATTAATATTAACAATAAAGAAAAATAAGCCTATAATATATACATATACGAAAAATATCTACACAATTATTGAAAATAACGGGAATGAGACTAAAATGCAACAGCAAAAAATTTGCGCAGGTCTAAGTAAAGATGAGTCAAGCTACTAATAAAATTCCTGCCTAAAAACTACTCCCAAAAAATTCGAGATGACAATATTAGGGCTTTCATAACACACCTCACCCCTCAATACTGCTTTGTTTGAATTCATTCCCCCTTCCAAAACAACGGAAACAGAAAACGTAAACAACGGATGTCCTCTCCTAAGCACAGAGTTCTGATTCGTAACAGCATGAGATCGCTAAAGTCGCAGTGTTCCTGCTAATGGAACACCCAGTTTCGTTTAATGATTCTGCATATGGTTTTTGTATGAAAGATTAAAAAAAATATAGAACAAATAATTTGGAGTACAGCCAGCAAAATTATGCCTATTTTTTTTTCCAAATAAAATTTTTTATATCATTAAAAAAAAATAGAGAAAATTACTTGAAAAAAGTGGATTTTAATAACACATAATAAATGAAAATTCTGTGTCTCCTTGTGATATGCTGCTATCTACTGTTTAAAAAGAAAAGTTCAAAGTATATTATAAAGGCAATTTTATCTATTTACGGTTGAATTGAAAGGTTTCAGAAACGTTTCAATTTGGGTGTTCCATGTAATGGAACACTGAGCCGCAAAGGGTTAACTGAAATAGATAATTAGGTAATTTTAGACTGTCCGTTATACATTAAACGCGCATGCATAAACATATGATGCGTACACGTAAAGGTATTACGCGCATGCGCAGAACGTTTGCAGCTATGAGGTCCGGATTAACGACTTTTGACTGTATTAGATTTATATATAGCATCATCTTAACATAGGTATTGTGACACAAAATTGGACATTTTCTGAAATGTCATACCAATTTTTTTTTTGCTTTTCATATCTTAATTTTATGACTCAAATTATACTAAAATACGAGTTTTGTAAAAAAATTGCACGAGGACTTTTTAAAAACTAAGTTCTCAAAATCTTAGCTCCTCGATGTTAATTGAATTTGGTATATATT